GTGAGTGCTTGGGAGCCCTCCATCACACATATACTTGATAGTGATCATTCGATTGTGTGAGTGAGCGATTCTAGTGCGATTGCATCGTGAGGTTGCATCGAGTGGCACTAGGTGGTCGTGTTGCAAGCCGGTGGTGCTTGTTACTCTTGGAGGTTGCCACCTCCTAGACGGCTTGGTGGTGGTCTCCGCCGAAGCCCGCAAAGAAGCTTGTGCGGACGCTCGGAGAAGTGCTTGTGAGGGGTACTTGTGCTCGCCCCACGGGAGTCGCGAAGAACAACTTTAGTAAAGCATGTCATTGAGCTACCCTCACTCAAGGGGTAGGTTCTTGCGGTGCCCGACGTGCGGGCTTAGCGGGTGATGCTAATTAACCGCCGAACCACCAAGTGAGCGGTCGACACAACGGGGACTAGCGTGTTGGCAAACACATGAACCTCGGGAGAAAAATCATCGTGTCAACCTTGTTCTTCCCGTTGGTTTGCATCCCCATTACACAAGCTTGCAATTACTTTTATATATCTTAAGCTTGTGTAGTTGCTCTTATAATTAGATAGCTTGTGTAGCTAGCTAATTACCTTCTTGCTTGTGTAGCATAGAAGTAGCTCCCTTGCGTGGCTAATTTGGTTTTAGTAACCTTGTTAGTCACATTGCTTAGTTTGTATAGCTAAGTATTTGCGCTCTCTAATTAGGCATTGGTTGCCTTGTTATTGAGCATTGCTAGTGAGCTTAGTTAGCTTTGTGCTTTTGCTTACTAGCATGTGTAGAAGCTCCCTTGTTACTTAAAGTATTAGTGGCATAGGTTTGTGTGACCTTGCTCCTAGAATTGTTTAGGAGAGCTCTAGCTAGTCCGGCACCTTAGTTGCTTTATTAGTATCTTTGCAAGGTGCTATAGAACATATATTGAGGGGTGTAGTCTTGGCTAGACCGATAATTGTATTTCCGCACTTGTTTCGGTTAGCCGACACGATTAATTTTACAAAAGACTATTCACCCCCCTCTAGTCCGCCATCTCGACCCTTACAACAGCGTGAACTCGGCCTGCTACGCTGCCGCACGCTCGAGTAGCGTGCGAATCCTATGATGGGCCCGATGATCCTTGGGTGTCGCGGGCTCCGAAAGCCCCTAGAGTAAGGCCGCCATGGTAGCGATGTTCTGGCCTGCCCGGGTGAAGTGTGGGAGGGCTTCGTCGTCCTTGATGATCCTCTGGTTCATGTCATGGGCCACGTAGCGCGCACGCCCACCGTCTCCATGGTGCTCGATCTCTCGCTCGAGCTCCACACGTTCCTGCTCGAGCTTGAGTCATTCTTCTTTGAGCTATTGGTGCCGCTCCTTAGCTGCTCTACCACGCAGGCGAGGTGGGCCCTGCATCCCCCGACCTCGTCGTCGAGGTCGTCTGTTGGGGTAGCCCCTCCCTCGTGGATGCTTTCGATGTATCCCTCGGGGGTACCTGCCATGAAACATTCTCGTGAGGGGTGATGGCTCCTCCTACTGGAGTCAGAGTCGGAGGGCGACTCTGATTCTCCCGCGAGAAGGTTGTGAAAAGATTCCATGACGTATTCGGTTATCCCCACATACTCGTCATTCATAGGGGATGGGGGCATGCACTATGCCACAAGGTGGCCAACGGTCTCTATGGCGTTGCGTAAACCAAATAGGAGCACTGTCGGGGCGCTCGGATGAGGTATTCGAGGAGAGTGGCTCTCCTCCGATAAGCTATGTCATAACGTTGACGAACGAGAAGGTGAGGTGGCGTAGGTCCTCCCGGGACAGTCGGGGTCCTAGGAAGGCGCCGAGCTGGCGCTCTAGCCTCCCGTAATCGAAGCCGAGGAGCTGGTTGCTCCTAGGGGTATGGGCTTCTAGTGCGTGCAGCTATAACTCCTCAAGCGCCTTGGCGATTGTGTCAAGGCCAGAGGAGTGGAGAGGTTGGACGGCGGTAGGAACCTACGCCAACTCTCCCTCCGTCGTAACGATGAAGTTTAGGTTCCCAAAGTGTACGTGCGTGCCCGAGACCCAGCTGACGCCGTGACTAGCTATTCGAGGCCTGATGTGGACGTTGAGACGCGCAAAAAGCCCCTACCTGGCGCGTCAACTGTCATTGTTTTTGGATCATCGACGAGTAAATTTATATTTGCGCGTCTGGTTCGGATGGTGTGCTCAGAGGACACAAGGGTTTATACTGGTTCGGACGGAATGTCCTACATCTAGTTTGTTGCTGCTCATGTTATTGACACTTAGTTTTGCAGTAGGGGTTACAAACAGGTGAGAGAAGGAGAGGATCCCAAGTCTCTAGTGGAAGGAGTGAACGGGTGCTGAGAGGTCGCTTGCCACTCAGCCGTGTGCTCATGTCGTGCTCTTGTGTCTCGATCTCCCCCTTCATGGGGCGTCCTGCTTCTCCTTTTATGGGTGAAGAGAAAGCGCGGGTTATAGAGGAGGAAAAGGAGAAGAACCAGAGAGAGAAGCAGGCTTCCAGGGTTGCTGGGTCCTTCTTCAACTTCATACTGGTCCCGCCGATCCTGTAGATGTCAATCAGGGATGGCTCCATGTGGCGGCCCTATTCATCATTGACGCCATGCGCAGGCGTCATCTGCCGATCATGGCGTTCCACTCTGCCCTGGCGGATGTCGTGGTGAACTGACGCGCCTGTCAGCATCCGTACGAGGATTAGGCAGAACAACACCAGCACGCCCGACACTGTTCTTTATGTGAATCCTCAGGTATGGCGCGTCATGCGGGTTACATCGAGGTGTGCCAGCCTCTTCCCTGACATCAAAGTTTTGATCTAGGCCTATACGCTTGGACCTGGAGTGGTTGGCGGCAGTATAGGTCCCCGTCGGACGAGACAAAACTCGCGTCCTCGAGGTCAGGCGAGACGAAGCCCACGACCTTGGGGTCGGGCGAGACGGAGCCCGCGGCCTTGGGCGAGATGGAACCCGCATCCTTGGGGTCGGGCGAGACGAAGCCTGCACCTAAGGGGTCGGACGAGACGGAGCCCGTGGCTTTGAGGTCGGGCAAGACGAAGCCCGCAGCCTTGGGGTCGGGCGAGGCCTTTTAATACGTCTCGAGCCATCCGAGGAAGTTAGTGACGCTGACTTCCTTGCTTTCGGTATCCCTAATATCGATACCCGACGCTAACCATATGTTACAATAATACGTTCAAGCATCGTAGACAATCTACTGTGGCACAATTTCTAATTTCTAAACATATGCAAGGATTGTACAATCAACAATCAACACAAAAAATCAACACAAGCAAATCAATACCTGCTCGTCCTTCTTTGCTGGTGCTACCCGCTTCCTTCCAGTGCCCACCGTGGCGCTTGGGTGGCTCGCTGCAGCGCCCTGGCCTCCATTGCCCTATCCGCCAATGGGTTGCACGCCACTGCAGGGGCCTGTGGGCGCGCCGTAGGACGCCGGCGGCGGGGCCGCACCATAGGAGACCAGATGCGGGGGCGCGCCGTAGGACGCCGGACCTAGGGGCACGCCGAAGGGGGGCGGAGCCGAGGGCGCGCCGTAGGGGGCTGTCGCTACCATGGCTGGTGGAGGATGAGAGAACCCGACTCTGGGCGCCGGTGTAGGACGTGCGGAGTTGGGGAACATGTGTTGCCCAAACACGACCTCGTCTCGGAATATGGCCATCATCTTGTGGCTCCGAGGCATCCATGGCGCCGACGCTGGAGCTCTGGAAGAGGAGCAGCAGGGGAGGGATGAAGGGGCGGCGACGATGGACCTAGAAGAGGAGTGGCAGTGGAGGGAAAGGGCGGCAGCTTTGGAAGAAAGACCGACGCTGCGCACGCGTACGAGAGTCCGAGGAGTCGAATCAGTAGATGGGAAGGTGAGTAATGGATGGCAATGTAGGTAATTATCCCCAACTCCATGTGGGTGTACAAAACTCTAAAAACTAGAGTACCCCTTGAGGTACTTTAGAAAAAAAAGGTGGAGTTGACCCTCGACTCACGTTTTTCTTGGAGCAGAGTTTCTAAAGCTGGAGGTGTTTGGCACCGCCGGAAGCTGGAAAAACAGGAGCGGAGCAGTCCCAAACACCCTCTTAGTATAGTCTAAATGCCCAACTAGTCGATAGCTTCTCTCTATAGTTTTTATATTTCTCTAAAAAACATGTGATTAAATTTTAGTCGTCCAAACTTTAATCATCTAGATTTTCACCTAATTATTTTTTGAATCAAAATTTCGTCTAACTTTTAGTTGGACTAACAATCAGTTTATGTTAGTTTCCAAAAAAAACAATTAGTTTATGTTAGTCTATTGCGATCTAAACAGATCATATAGACGTATCTAGTAAGATTAATTAGTAGCATGGTGCTATACGTGATCACTGGACGAGAAATAGTCCATCCCCGGCTGGCCATATGGAAACAGTGTTTTTGCCCTGTTTATGTGTATTATGAGCCGTATTATTTCAGCGAACGAACGATATTTCTCTCTCACAACAAATCAGCGAACGATATTTTCAGCTATGATTTTTACAGGGCCAAAATTCTCTGCAGCACATTTGTAATCCGCGTCTGCTCAGCATATGACACGTCGACACCCAACGCATCAGACGGCAGAGGACCAGGAAGCCGCCGGCCGGATCGCGCGAAAACAGAAATGGTAACGCAGCGCACGGCGCGTGCACGGTGCACCGTGGTCCGTGTCCGTGGAGGAGCACCCATTTCCATTTCGGTTTCACATTCTCACTCCTCGTCTTGTCGAATCTCGGCGGCCAGACTCTTTCTAAAAAATAAATAAATCTCGGCGGTCAGACTCAGCACGGACGGAGGCGGGGAAACCAACCAGGAAAGCCGAAAAACTCGCGCGAAACTCGAACCTGCTCCCGCGCCTTCGCTCGGCTCCCTCCCCAGTCCCCATCTCAAAATCAAGTCTACTGTTCCAGCATGCAATCCAGTTCCAGGCCCCCTCTCCTTTCCCCTTCCCGTTCCCGTTCGCCTCGCCGCTCCCCCGACCCCGACTCGCCGATCCCGGGAGGAGAGGACGCGGGCGGCGTCATGGACACCGAGCCCTTCGACGAGGCGGAGCTCCTGGTGCTCCCAGCGTCCCCCGTCGCGTCCCCGCCTCGCTGCCTTAAGCGCCTCAAGAAATTATCCTCCCAAACCACCGCCGCCACTACAACTGCCACTACCACCAGCTTTCCTGCCGGCTCCCCGCCTCCGCCTCTGTCGCCGCCGCCGCAGGCCGAGGCGACACCGGGCCAGGAAACCCTAGCGCCGAGCCCGTCCCCTCCCCGCGACCCGTCCCCGCGCCCGCCGACGCCGCCAGATGCGGATGCCCCGACCCCGCTACCGCATTCCTCTCCCGCCCCCGTGTCCTCGCCGCTGCCGCCGACCGACACCCCCGACGACGACAGCGACGAGTACGAGGACGACGGGCTCGACCCGCTGTTCTCGGAGACCGTCGTTGCCGGGGTGTGGGACCCGCTGGGCACGCCGGCCGAAGGGGACGGTGAGGACGACGACGACTTGGGGCTGGGAGGCGGCGGCCTCATCGAGGAGCTGCGGAGGGAGCAGATGTCGGCGAAGAAGCGGCTCGACATGGACGAAGCTGACGGGGAGGTGGCTTCCGGGGCGGCGGCGGAAGGCAAGGGGAAGAGGAGCAAGAGGAAGAGGAAGGAGGCGCCGCCGCCCAAGGAGTCGGTCCGGGAGAAGAAGCGGTCTGAGAAGGTAACCGGCCGTTCTCTCCTGCGTTCTGGATCATGCCGTTGGTTAGTTGAATTGCTGGTAGGTTTTTGCTGATGTGTGGTGCTGTGGGTTCGTGTGTGTAGGAGAGGAGGGCGCAGCTTGATTCGATCCATGCTGAGTCACAGAGGCTGCTGCGAGGTATACATACACGTTAACTGCACATGGGGGTAGGATTTAGATGTTGAAATTTTATCTTTGTTTTCATTTTTGTTCATTGTAGAGACGAGGAGGGTCTCGTTCAAGCCAATTGTGCAGCCAGTTCACAAGCCCATCTCATCTGTCCTGGAGAAGATCCGCCTGCGTAAGATGGAGGTTCTGAAGAAGTAAGTACTACATTGTTTCTTTGAGGTTTCCATAATTCGATCCTAATCCCCTTCCCCACACACAACTGCGAATCTTAAACAATGTTTGCTTTTCTTTACTCTGGATTTCAGATCACATACATCTATTGAAGACAGTGATGACAATGATGCTGCTCCAGAGCCAGTGATTGATTCTGTTGTGCATTTGGATGTGCCTCAGTCTAAAGAAGTGACACTTGATGATAGATATTTGAGGATTGTGAGTCTTCATTAAGGATGTTTGATTTGATTATCTTATGTAGTGCCCATGGAGTTTAAAGTGGTGCTGTAATTGCAGGATGGCGCTGAAAAGGAGCTTGGAACAAACAGCCATGGCCTTGATCAGTGTGATAGTGTTCAAGAGGATGAGGTGGGCATTGCTTTCTCTTGATTAGTGTACAATGTGGTGCCCATACAATACATTACTGATAAAGTGGTCTGGCTTGCAGGATGGTTTGAGTTGCAAGGAGAAGGATATCCATAATTGTGGTACCAAAGCTTCAGATGAGGTATTGTCCCCTTATCCAATTCTGCTGCCATCTGCAGCAAATAAATTGTCAGAGCATAATAGGAGGATGATTCATCTATAGCATTAGCCTTCTACTTTATTTCACTACTCCAAGCTATCTCATGCATGGCCAAAACCACTATCCAGTAATTTGTAATCAGGGATCTGAGATGATATAAATTATGTGATTGAGAAGTCTTATTGAATAGAATAATGATTTTTAAACACACTACATCTGCAACTACTATATTAAGCTCGAAATACTTATCTATATTCAACAGTTTGTTTAACAAATAACAATTTATTGTTTGATTTGATTCTACCAGGAAATTTCTGATCGATTGCAAGAGAATCATGAGAACACCCAGCCAAGTGATAACCATAACGATTTGGTAGATCAAACTCAACTGCCCCATTCTTCAAGCCCTACCGAGAGTACAGATGAAACGTAAGTGTGTATACTCTTCTTCTATCATCCATTCTCAATTTCCACAACAACCATTATAGTTATTGCATATATGTCTTGGTTTCAGCACCAGAATCCCCCCCTAGCCATTGACTTTTTTATGATTAGCAGAGGGATGAAAAGCCCCCGCCTTTCATTGATCTGAAACAGGGCCAGTATCCCTGTTAGGGGCATCGAATTCGAGTGGATAAATGAAACCATTATATTAATATTATTAATTTTGCCTCCACAAACCAGTTCTGAAGCCCTGTTAGCTCCATACATAAAACATGCAGTGACTTCTTACTATGTTTTGAATTCTTCAACAAACTTGCACACTTATCCAGAGGATAGTTATGTACTATTATTATTTTTTGTTAGCTCATTTCTGCCTAATGTATGGTATGCACATACAATATTCATGGTGTCATGCATTTTATGCCTCAGTTCATCAGAAGATGAAGAAGAAGATAATGATAAAGAGAACATGGACCCAGGCACTCAGAATAATGATGTACATACTCATGAACACCTCCAACGAGCCATTGGAGGAGACTCATGCTCAGGTGATGCCATCATAAAGGATTTTCTAGATGATGAAGCTGAGGAAGAGGATGATAGTGACAATGACATGATGAGATTTAAGGACAATGAAGAAGATGATGGAAGTGATGAAAACGAGGTATTCAATGATCTAATAGCAGCTGGCTATGAAGAAAAAGAAGTAGATCATGAGAAGCGTAATGAACTCCACCAAAAGTGGCTTGAGCAACAGGATGCTGCTGAAACAAATAATGTTATGCAAAGGCTGAAGTTTGGTCATCAGGAGCAAAAAGCATCAGCATATGAAGATGAAGACGAAGACAAAGACGAAGATGTAGAAGACTGTGAGGAAGGATCACAGAATGAAGATTTAACTCCAACAAATGTTGTGCGACAAAATTCGGAGAAGGCAAAACAGATGATTGCAAAGATGTTCGAAGATGATAATGATACTTACGAGCACTCGGATGATGAGGAAATAGAGGAGCATTTGGCTCGTCAACGCATTTCAAAGCGAGAAGTAAGTACTACTCCGTAAATATATATTTGAATGTGACTCATCTGTGGTACTATTGATGGTTTCATAGTTATGGTTATACTCATGTTCAATTCCTGATAGATGCTTGATATGGTATAAGGATTTACTTATTTTATCCAATGTTGCTATTTCCTTACCATGGTAATGGTGCCTAACTTTTGTTCATTTTATGTACTTCAGTAAACTAATTTGAGAATAACTGAATGAGACAACCTTTCTTACATAGGTTGATAGTAATACATTCATATCCCCATTAGAAGATGACAGCTCAAGGGAAGTATTTAGTCTAATAAAGAAGCTCAATATTGCTCCTCAGCCTAAGCGGAGAGGAAAGCAATCAACATGTAAGGGTGCCCTCCTTCCAAGCTCTGTCTTTGCATTGCTGTTCTTTTGAACGATCCTCATAATTGATTTACCAACAATTGTTCCTAACTTCTTTCAGCAAATCATGAAATGCTTATGGCTGGAAGGAACAGCAGTGCTTCAAAGGTTAGTGATTATTGATAAACTGTCAGTGGCTATACTTGTTACAAATTATCATTTAGTAGTTGAACTTTTCTAACGTGCCATGATCTTTCCCACCATAACATTGAATTAAGTAACTGCTAGAGCATTGCATCATGTTTACATACTAGATCATGTTCAACACCAATTCTTTGTTTCTGATGTCATGTAAAGGAACAGCAGTGCTTCAAAGGTTAGTGATTATTGATAAACTGTCAGTGGCTATACTTGTTACAAATTATCATTTAGTAGTTGAACTTTTCTAACGTGCCATGATCTTTCCCACCATAACATTGAATTCAGTAACTGCTAGAGCATTGCATCATGTTTACATACTCTGCATCATGGAAAATTGCTAGGAATTAACATTAATAATATAGTGTTAGAAGCTGGTGTAACATTTAACAAATAGAACAAGTGTCATTTGTCTTTAGTATCAGAATAAAGTTATCAAATCTACCTTAGCATATCCAGTGCGATGTTCTATATTAAAATGCAAGCCCTTGACATGACGAAATTCAATGAAGACATTGTACATAACAACTTCTTTTGTATCTTCTTTAACTCCACAGACAAGGATTGTCCATCTTTTGATAGCTATAAATTAATGAACTTCTCAATTATTAGGACAAGAGGTAAAGTGATGAATGTGTTAGAATTAATATTGCTATTTACTTTAATCACCTAGTTACTTGTGTAATCTCCTAGCTTTAATCTCCTAGCTAGCTGTGCAGAGTTAATGCCCAGCTGGCCCCTTGGGGTTCGGCTGGCCTCTTGGGACTCGGCTGGCCCTTTGGGTCACCCTCCTCCTCTCTTTATATATGTAATCTCTTACGTAAACTCAATTCAAGTAATCTAAGCACTGTTAGGCTATTGTCTATCATGGTATCGAGACTAAACCATCGATCATACGCTTCCCTCCCACTCCACCCACCCAGTGCTGCTTGCGCCCATGGCCACCTCGGCTCCTCCGCCATGGCTATCGCGACCAAGCTCATGAGGAGCCCCCTCTCACGCTAAGCACTGGAGGATGAGGCCTCTCTCTGCGCTCCACCAACACAGAGCGCTGCCTGGCCAGCTCGAGGAAGAAGCGCCCTTCTCAAGTCCGCTTCACGGCCGCGCCAGGGGCGTGTCCGCGCCGCGCTTGTTGCTCTTGACAAAGTGTGCAGGCAGATACTGAGAAGCGGCAGGCGCGGCCCTCCGGATCGCCTCCGCCCGAAAGCATCCGTGACGACGACGCCGATCACGAGGATGACGGCGTCCACTCCGCCTCCTCGAAGCGGCGCCGCCATCGCCCACCTCCACACTCAAGTTGTTGCCGTCCAGAACCTCATCCCTATCGTTCTTGATCTTCAATCCTCCAACTACTCCAAGTGGCGCGGCTACATCCTCCTCATCCTCGGCCGTTTCGCCTTGAAGGATCACGTCCTCAGCGACGACTCCCACCCCTACGATCCGGCGTGGTCACGCATGGGCTGCGTCGTCGTCCTCTTGGCTTTTCAACACCATCTCCACCGACCTCCACGGGCGTCATCCATGAGCACGACGGCCCTCCGCCCGGATAGCATGGCTCGGGATTGAGCAGCGATTCCTCAACAATTGCGAGTCCCGCGCCATGCTCCTCGACGCCGAAGTTTCGCACTCTACGCCAAGGTGCCCTCTCCATTGATGACTACTGCGCCAAAATGAAGAGCATGGCGGATGCCCTCGCCGACCTCGGCGAGCCCATCCAGACCGAACTCGGTGCTAAGCGTTCTCACGGGTCTCAATGAACGTTTTGGTTCATGTCCCGGCTCGTCACCCGCTGAGAGGCCGTTGCCGAATCCTTCGCCGATGTTCGTCTTGACCTCCGTTTGGCGAGCTCAACATGGGGCGCCCTCGCCTCTTCTTCGGCTCTTGTCGCGCGCGCCTCCATCAAGCCGCCCGCCGTCCTCGCTTGCGCCTCCACGCCATCATCAGCCGCTGTTGGCCATCATCTTCTTGCTAGACAACACTCCGATGTGGCATGCGCGCGGCCGACGCCGCCCATGTGCGGCGCGGCTGCTCGGCAGCTCCGACAAAGAAGGCATGCAGGCGGGGCTGCACCAGCCCACACCACGGTGGCCCTCATTGCTCAACCCTGGACCGGTTCTATCCACATGTGGCGGGGTCCACCGCCGGTGGCGCCCGTGGCCCTCCACCACCTGTGATCCGGCTGCACCTCTGCAGCAGCTGCGGTGGCGGCGTGCCACCGGCATACTTCACTCCACCACCCGGGCCGGGTCCTACCCAGCCCCCCTCGGGCACCTCTCTGCTGGGCGCCTGGACGCCTTGAGGGTCTCGCTAAGCGCCTTGAAGACCGTCTCCCTCACCCCACCACCGAGTTCCTCGGATTGGGTGATCGACTCGGGCGCCTCCTCCCACATCACCGCCAACCCTAGTATGGTCACCGCTACACCATTCTCTTCCTTTCCCTTCTCCATTGTCGTAGGCAACGGGGCCACCCTCCCTGTTATTGGCACCGGCTATTCTGTCCTTCTTGGACCCTTTCGCCTCGACAATGTCCTTGTAGCTCCCGACATTATCAGAAATCTCCTTTCGGTTCGAAAATTCACTAATGACAATTGTGTTTCTGTTGAGTTTGACCCTCTTGGTGTTTCTGTGAAGGATCTTCGTACCCGGAACACCCTCCTCCGATGTAACAGCACGGGGCCTCTCTACACTCTTCAGCTCCCTTCATCCACCACTGGCTCCTGCGCCCTTGTCGCCACTCCTTCACCAACCACCTGGCACAGGCGCCTCGGTCACCCCGGCAAGGCCATTCTTCAGTCCCTTGCACAGTCCTCCTCCATTGTCTGCAGCAAGCCTGAAGATGACTCCCTCTGCCACCTTTGTCGACTTAGGCGTCATATTAAATCCCCTTTTTCTATTTCGCTATCTAGAGCGACCAAGAATTTTGATTTAATCCATTGTGACCTGTGGACATCTCCTGTTGTTAGTGTCTCTGGTTTCAAATATTATTTAGTTATTCTTGATGATTGCTCTCATTTCCTCTGGACTTTTCCCCTTCGCGCTAAGTCCGATACATTCCCCACGATTTCTAATTTCTTCGCTCATGTGTCTACCCAATTCGGTTGCACCATTAAATCAGTCCAATGTGACAATGGTCGCGAGTTTGACAACTCCGCCTCTCGTGCTTTCTTTCTTGCTCACGTCATCACTCTCCGCATGTCGTGCCCCTATACTTCCCAGCCAAACGGGAAAGCCGAGCGCATGATCCGCACCGTCAATAACATCACACGCACCCTCCTCTTCCAAGCTTCCATGCCCCCCTCTTACTGGGCTGATGCTCTAGCCACTGCCACCTATCTCATCAATCGCCTTCCCACCAAAACTCTAAACATGAGCACCCCCTTTTTCGCCCTCCATGGCACCCTCCCCTCCTATCATGATCTTCGTGCCTTCGGGTGCACATGCTACCCCAACCTTTCTGCCACCACTCCTCACAAGCTTGCCCCCCGCTCCACCCTCTGTGCTTTCCTTGGTTATTCACCGGATCACAAGGGCTATCGGTGTCTCGACCTCAACACCAACCGCGTCATCATTTCTCGCCACGTTGTTTTCGACGAAACAACGTTTCCTTTTCCTCTCACCACCATCCTCCTCGGCGGGGAACTTGATTTTCTAAGCGGCGCGACACCATTCCATTGTCTCCCCCTTCTGTAGGTACACCCGTGCTGCTTGCCCCTTCCAGATTGGTGCCTATGGCACCATCTCGCACGCGTGTGTAAGCACGCGGCGGCGTCAGGGCCTCAGTGTTGCCAGCGCCCTCCACCCAGCACCACCACCGATTGTGTCCAGGGGTCCCGGCGTCCTCTGTCTGACAGCGCCCTTGTCTGGCGCCCCTATCTCGCTTCGCGGCCCACCTGTCGTCCACGTCTACTGTAACCCGCGCGCCCCCGGTGATTGCGCCTCGAAGCCGCTATTATTCATGTCTCACAAAGAGCGTGCTCTGCTCCCCGCCCCGCCACCCGAAAGCGCCCGGACAAGCGCCTCCTCGGCGTCCAAAGATGATCCCTCTCCACCTTGCTATGTCAAGAAGCGATCCTCCGGTTCCTGCTGGTGCTGTTTCCATTCCGTCGGTCGCCAACTCCCACGGCATGGCGACCCGTGGAAAAACAGGCTACCGGCAGCCTCGCCTCGCCTTGCATACCGAGGCCTTGTCTCCCCTACCGCGGTCCTGTCGAGATGCCCTTGCTGATCCTCATTGGCGTCAGGCCATGGAAGATGAATATCTGGCTCTTCAGACAACCACACAGGACCTCGTCCCCCGCCCCACCAAGGCCAATGTTGTTACTGGAAAATGGATTTTCAAACACAAGTTCCATGCCGATGGCTCATTGGAGAGATACAAGGCTCGTTGGGTACTTCGGGGATTCACTCAACGCCCCGTTGTTGATTATGATGAAACTTTCGGCCCGGTTGTTAAGCCGACCCCTTTGTTCGGACAGTCATCACGGTGGCACACTCCGAGGATTGGCGATTCATCAACTTGCGTGAAGAACGCTTTCCTCCACGGGACTCTTTCGAAGCGATATCGCTGCTCTCGGCCCTCTTTGGGTTCGGTTGATCCTGCACTTCCAGATCATGTCTGTAGACTCAACAAATCCCTCTACGACTTGAAGCAAGCCTCGCGGGCCTGGTACAACCGCTTTGCCTCCTTTCTGATCTCTCTGGGGTTCACTGAAGCCAAGTCAGACACATCTCTCTTCATATTCAGCCGTGGCACCGAGACAGTCTACTTGCTCTTATATGTGGATGACATTGTCCTTATGGCTTCATCTCAGCAACTCCTTCACCGTGTCATTGCTGCTCTGAAAAAGGAGTTCGCCATGAAAGATCTTGGACCCTACATCACTTCCTTGGCGTTGCAGTTCAGCGCCACAGGGATTATGTTCTCCTTTCATAGCGTCAGTACACTCTGGACATACTTGCTCGCCATGGCATGAGTGATCGCAAGCCTTTGCTCCACTCGATTGACACTTGTGCAAAGGTACGGTGATGATGCCGGCCCGTCATTCTTGATCCCATCGCTTATCGTAGCCTTGTGGGTGCCCTCGATACCTCACCTTCACCCGGGCCGACATTGCCTATTCCGTCCAACAAGCGTGCCTTCATATGCATGATCCGCGGGAAACTCACCTTGTCGCTGCTAAGCGGATCTTCGCTATCTTGAGGGCACCCTCACCATGGTCCGGTCATTCCCGAACAGCCCCAACACAGCTCCGTGTCTACACCGACGCTGATTGGGCGGCTGCCCGGACACCGCCGCTCCACCTCCGGCCACGCCGTCTTCCTCGGGGTAGCTTTGGTCTCTGGTCCTCAAGCGGCAACCCATCGTCTCCGGTCCAGCCGCAAAGGAGGCAAAGTACCGGCTGTTATAACGGCGTCATTTGAAGCCACTTGGGCTGCGGCAAGCTGCTCCAGAACTTCACCATCCCCTGGACTCTGCATGCCTCATCTACTGCGACAATGTCAGCGCCTGCTCCCTCTCCACCAACCCCGTTCAACATCAGCGCACCAAGCACGTGGAAATCGACCTTCGCTTCATCTGTGAACGTGTCGCCATGGGTGCAGTCCGGGTTCTTCATGTGCCCACCACGTCGCAATTCGCCGATGTCTTCACCAAGGGGCTCCCTTCCTCTGTCTTCATGGATTTTCGCTCCAGTCTAAACGTTCGTTCCACCGACGATCTGACTGCGGGGGGGTGTTAGAATTAATATTGCTATTTACTTTAATCACCTAGTTACTTGTGTAATCTCCTAGCTTTAATCTCCTAGCTAGCTGTGCAGAGTTAATGCCCAGCTGGCCCCTTGGGGTTCGGCTGGCCTCTTGGGACTCGGCTGGCCCTTTGGGTCACCCTCCTCATCTCTTTATATATGTAATCTCTTCTGTAAACTCAATTCAAGTAATCTAACCCTGTTAGGCTATTGTCTATCAGAATGAACGAAATGCATTGTTACTGCACCAACAAAGAGACAACAACCATAGTCCAGTCCATAAGTATGAGCCAAGTATGGGTAAATCGGTATGCATGTCACCAGAGACTACGTGGAAGAGTTGCCCACAAGTTCCTGGGTGCAGAAAAATGTTGGGCTACATATATTAGTCAATCTAAAAAATGTCAAAGTAAACAAGCAGTACGTTTTGTGAAACACAATCTGTAGTATATATTAAATGACATTGTTAATATACAAAAAAAAAAAAATGCCAGCACAGCTCAGAAGTGAAGGAAACACAATGTCATGCTATTCCTGCAACAATACTCTCCTGCCTAATAAAAATCTAATGATTATGACATCCCTCTGCTCTGTACTTGTACTGTTTACTCGTTGTAACGAGACACATTTGAGCTATTAAGTGCATCTTTTGTTTTGTTTGTTTCTCAAAGACTCAAACACTAAAAGTATATAAGAAACCAGTCCCAAACACACCTTCAAGTATCATATAGCATGATGTATGACTACTCTCTCTGATAGTTCACTAGATTGTTCCATTTTAACCCTGTGGCCCTGTATTAGACTGCGAAAACATTCTCCTATACCTGATAAACCATGGACACATATAAAAGGGACTATCATGTTATCTCCTTGCAACGACAAAACTACTGCTGGCATGTACGTTGTAGTTTAGTTCAGAACCACCATGCGTCTTTATGTGATCCCTAAGCATCATATTCATAGGGCACAGGCCAATTGCAGCATTGTTCATTGCTCTTGCTATCAATACATGGTGCTGAATAAACTAATTTACATAATACCACCACTTTCTCATATTTAATCCAAAATTATCCAATATAACTGTCTGTTCACCATTAAAACCATCAGAGGACACTGGGATGAAAGCACCTCCACTTCCACCAAACCTACAGAAGCATGAATTAATATAAGTGCTTTCATGGTCTCCAAGTTGTACCATACCATTCATACTTGTGCACTCACTTTTGTATTGTTGTATGGGTTATAAACAACCACCAACCAACCATTTGGTGTTGGGTTTGGATTATTATGGTGAAACATTACAGTTCACCGAAGCTAATTCCAAGAGTGACTTTGAAATCTTACAACCGCAAACTGGAGGACGGATGTGACTATTGTATCACCTTCTGATAAGCACACCTTTTGGTTCTTTGTGATTGCAACTTTTGGTTCTCTATTAACTATATACTGTACGTCTGCCCACAATGTTTCCATACTATTGCACTGCTGATAATTTTATGACCTTCATTCATTGCATCTATTATTATCAGAGATTTTGGATGGTTTTGCTTTGGCATGTGTGACCATAAAATGGCATCATCTGTATTCCTTGCAGTCATCATTTCTTGGACGAACTGCCAGTGGTTCACTGGCATCTTCTCACAGATCAGTCTATAGATCCTATGTATTTGGTCGTGATGACAGCAATAGCAGCAGGAGTTGCATTTCTACTTCAGAGAGTAATTCAGATATGGTAAGCTTTCTTTTGAAACTTGACTCTGCTTTATACATGAGTTTGAATCTGCTCTATCATGGCATTCATTTCTTGTTTTCCAGAATGCGCTTAGCTATTTTTCTTTCCATCCTGCAGGACCAAACCAACTCTTCTCAACCCAAGAAGGCCAAGTTCAGTTCACAGCCAAAACCAGTGGGGACAAGGGCAAATACAGAGTGTAACACGAATTCTGGTGTTTCCCTCTTTGACATCCTGCGCAGGACTTCAGAGCAAAGCAGTCAGGAAAGCTGTAACACAATCACAGAGAGTCAAGCTGTGCATCAGTTCTCGGCATTCAAATTATCAAGGAGGTTTTCTAGGGTGGGCGCGAAAAATTGACAAACTCCAGGAGGGCACAAGACAGTTGGTGCCTGTATGGTTGTAGATTTTGAATTCTGACCACCGGCCTGGAAGTGCAGGACGAAAGCTGTCTAGAAAAAGGCCTCAGGTGAGGCTCATGAAAAAGGGAGATGAGAATGGCTCCTAAGTTGCCATTCATCTTCGTGCTGTTAGTGTTGTGAGGGTGTGCTGTTGGAGCTTAGGGGTTAAGGCGTTGAGTTAATTTCGAGCTTCAAATTGTTGAATATAAAGACCTTGGAAGAGATTCTGGATTGCACCATGACCGCCAGGGGTTCTTCTGCATGGCCGGGGACCGTGGATGTTCCTGAACTGAGAATGCTGAAACCAGATTTGAATTCCAAATCTGGTTCTATGTGTGCTCGTATGCTCTTTGAGAATGCACGCTGAATTTCCTGAGGCTTAAAGTTGAGTGTTATGCTTGCTTATTCTTGCTGCATTGGCTCTTAACTCTTAGGATCGGAAGATGTTGGCTTTTACCAAAAACCAAATGTATGGTTGGGACTCAAACGTTACCTGTAAGCATGCATTTTGTACATGGATGCCTCCCGAAGTTACCATGTCGAATAATAACAGGGTATCAAATATATCTGGAACACTGCTACTCTGAAAAAATAAACCAGCAACACTTTTTTTTTGAAGCAAATCACTTTGCATTACTCGTCTGTCATAGCTGAATCGCTGGACACTAGAGCGTCAAGCTCAAGAGGTACATCATCCCAAACGGTTTGTGCACCGCTGGGCAAATTACATCATCACTTTTTTACTTTTTTTTGGTATGTATGTACATATATGTGTGTGCGAGCGCGCAAAAGAAAGAGCAGCAACACTTTTTTTTTTTTGAGAATCAGGAACACTGGTGCGTGGTGCCTGAGTTTGTTTGACGGTAATACAATTGGGCCCTAGTACGGGCTTTAGGGCCCACTACTGTGCGACCATATGAAAGAAACTCTTTCAGGGCTCACTTATGTGCCAACAAAGTCCGTATTACATCCCTCAATTTTCGCTAAATGTCCACTTTTTCTCCCTGAACTTCAAAATTGGGCAAAACATCTCGCTCAACTTTTAAAACCGTTCATCTTACCTCCCTGAACCGGTTATAATCAGTTTTGAAGGCGGTTTTGTCTTTTCCTTTTTTATTTATTTTGACTGGATCTTTGAAAAATCATAGTAAATCACAAAAAAGTCATAAAATAAAAAATCTAATTTTATTGGACTCCACATGAGTAGATCTACACAGTGAACATATAATATGGTATGCTTTAGTACAGAGTTTTTGTTATGGCTTTAGATCTATGCTTTTTTATAATTATTTAAAATAATTCATAGCTGCAGTTTCTATGGTCCAATTGTGATGAAATTTTTATGATTGGCTAATTATTGTATGAATAAACTGTAGTAAAAATTTTATACTCATTGGATTATGTATAACTTAATTATAGATTTATTTATATTTAACAAGCACAAACCTAAATAAAATCTATAACTAAGTTATACATGATCCAATGAGTATGAAATTTTTACTATAGTTTAAGCATACAATAATTAGCCCATCATAAAAATTTCACTACAATCAGACCATAGAAACTGCAGCTATGAATTATTTCAATTAATTACAGAAAAGCATAGATCTAAAGCCACAGCAAAAACTTTGTACTAAAAGCATACCATATTATATGTTCACTGTGTAGATATACTCATGTGGAGTCCAACAAAATTAGATTTTCTATTTTATGATTTTTCTATGATTTACTATGATTTAAAATTCAACCTATGAAAAAAAATAAAAAAAAAAATATACCATTTCAAATGTTCGCTTATAAACCAAGGGTGAGATGAATGGTTTAAAAAGATATGTTTTATCCGATTTTGGAGTTTACCAAGAAAAAGCAAACTTCCGTAAAAATTGAGGAGGTAATGTCGATTTTTTTTTCTACGTGGAAGAAAAAACTCTCTAAGGCCCAGATAATAGTAATCACATTTGTCCTCGTCGTCGTCCTATCTTCTCTTGAGTCTTCCCCTCCACTCTCCCCAACAAGCAACCCTAATCCGTGGCGCGGACCCGCCGCAAGCTCCGTCGCGCGAATAGGTTGGGGATTCAATCGAGGCTACGCGGGAATTGGTCACGCTCAAGATCTCAGCCTCCCGCACCTGGAATCTTGCTATTGCTGTCGTGGTAAGAAGATTGAGCCCTGTCCCTGCAAGAATCCATTTCAGTTTTTGTAGCCGAATCGATGGCGCAGGTGGCAGGCTCCGGCTTGCCGCCGTTTCTTCTCTCGTCGAGCTCTTGATTTGATTTTGGAATGGCCGGAGTTGTAATCTCGTCTCATGGAATTTCCCCCCTGGTGGCAGGTTCAGGTGATGAGATCTTGGGGAGCGGGCCTCGCTCGGTCCTAAGATGCTGGCGGGCTACGGCGGTGGTGGCCGCGGCGTCCATCTCTCCTCCCACAAGGACCTCCTCCTGGGCCGCGGCGGCCGGAGCTTCCTCTTCGGCAACACGTGGTTTCTCCTCTCCACATACCCGGCGCGCCTCCTGCACACCACGGACCGCCGCGCGCCCGCTGCGTTCTTCGCCGCGATCAACCGGGCCCCCTGCGTGCGCTCGCACTGCGTTGGGCAGGGCCTGCTGCAGAGGGGCGGCATTGTCATGGCTGCCTGCGGCTATGCTCTTCGGCGGGCTGAGCTGGGTGCCGCCAAGCGCCAGCAGCCGGATAAGGATCCATCTGCAGGGGCACGCGCCTCGCGTATTGCAGCCATGGGATCACTGGGCAGTGCTGCGCGACCAGACGTCTCTTTTAGGTACAGAGGGGTGGATTCTTGTAAGAAGATTGGTGTAAGCTTGAAGTGCCGTGAGCCATGGGGGAATAGGGCATTCTGGACAAACGCCGCCGGGCCAGGTTGGAAGTTGAGCTTTGCAGTTGAGCCATGGACTAGGGACTTTAGCGCGTCGTGTGCTGCACCATATTCTGCTGGAGCCACAGAGCATCAATTGTCGCTCGATGAGAAGATGGATAACTCCACCGTTGCATCTGATGGGTATGTACCATATTACTATTGCCTCTAATTTCTGTTTATAGTGCTAGTTTACTCTAGAATGTGTCCACATTGTGCATCAATACCACCATTGTTCACAAATGTTTTACTTCTGCATGGTTAATTGGTTACAATTGCCTATACCCCAAAAATGTTTTACTTCTGCATGGTTAATTGGTTACAGTTGCCTATACCCAAACAGAAGCATGCACATGAACATGCCAAGCAAGACAACTTGAGTGGAACTTAATAGGGTGTTTGGTTTGAGGGATGGGTTGAGGGATGGACTAGTCCATTTACTCACTCGTCATTTTTGTTTGGTTTGTGGAATGGAATGGGTTGATGCATCATCACCTCATTCCTCACAAGCTAACAATTAGTACTAGTTTGAGGAATGGCGTCATTCCACCAAATTTGAGGAATGGACTCATGATGCACCATCTCATCTTGAATGGTTTGATTCCTCAAACCAAACACCGTATAAGTAATTGAGGTCCATTAGAAACACCACCACCACCAACAACAACAACAAAGCCTTTCAGTCCCAAGCAAGTTGGGGTAGGCTAGAGCTGAAACCCTGCATGAGCCCCTAATCACGGTAATTGAGGTCCATTGCAATTTAAAAAACTTGTTATACTGAACCTCCTCGTTTTGTCTTAAAAGAGGGGGGATACCGAACCCCTTAGGGCTTGTTTGGCTACACGCATCTATCTTAATCCTTAGGGGTTTAATTTTCACCCCAATCCTCCTCAACACACATGGATTGAGTTTGATACGAGTGCTGCCAAACAAGACCAACAAGACCTTAGGGAGGTATCCACATGACTTTTGAGCGCCTGGGTTTGAGATGAGGTAGGTGCCCTCTCAACTGGAGGCTCTACCAACCAAGCTATTGCTTTTCTCAGTGAGCACTGAATAACAGATGTACATGGTCTCCTTAAGCTTTCATTTGATGCTGTTCAACTCTGCAAGTGCTGGCAACTACTACTTGGGTCCCAAAAACCTTGACGTTTTAGTTTTGTCCTAGGTCAAACTATCTGAACTTCGAACAAATTTATAGAGAAGATTGTTACTCCCTCCAGTCCAGTTTACGGTCTCCCCAATTGCTCTTTGACCATTCATTTATTTTATATCATATTGTTTATAAACTTATGATTATTGGATGGATAGTACATTGGATTTCAAATCAAGTAGTATTAAGCAGTATTAAGCTTGTATTACAATAATTAAAACTTGCTAGCCAAATTATTGGTCAAAGCTTATAAAGTTTGACTCTTGAAATAAGCACAATTCCTTATAAACTGGACCGGGGGGAGTTAACATTTATGACACCAAATAGGTACACTATGAAAATATGTTCCACGATAAGTCTAATTATTCTTGTTTGGCTATATAAATATTTGTATTTTACTAGAATGTAAGTTTTTTGGGACGGTGGTAGTATGTCAGATGCTATGAAGTGGACTATGGTACATTGCCACAAGTTTCACAAAATTAAACATAGGACAAAATTACACTGGTTCTGCATTCATTTCCCACACATAAGTTTGTTTGCTTGGAACACAAATATGGTTTATTACAGTATGCTTTGCATATGCATGTAAATTTTTTTTCTAGGTTACTTTATGATGAGTTGTGCCCATTCTATCTGTTATGTCTAGTATTATCAACTAATATTGGCTTGCATCTGCTGGTGTTCGTTTGTTTCATTTTCTTTACAGGAAGTCACCAGTTTCTGAAAAATTGAAGTTGCTATCTGGTTCATGTTACTTGCCTCACCCAGCTAAGGAGGCAACTGGTGGTGAGGATGCACATTTCATTAGCATTGATGAGCATGTGATTGGCGTAGCAGATGGTGTTGGTGGCTGGGCAGATCTCGGTGTCGATGCTGGATTATATGCTAAGGAGCTAATGAGAAATTCATTGAGTGCTATAAAAGATGAGCCAGAAGGGACAATTGATCCAACCAGAGTTTTGGAAAAGGCTTATATGAGCACCAAAGCAAGGGGATCATCTACCGCGTGTATCATCACTCTTAAAGATCAGGTGAAGGACCCATCCTTGTTTGATGTTTAGTGTCGTCCTGTTTTATTGGCTTATTTGATGTATCCTAGTGAACAGTAAAACACACCATAAAGACACGATTGAAGATTGGTTGCTACAATACACAAATGATTCTTCAAATCATTTATTGAATACATGCATTGCGAACTGAGTTATCGAGAATAGTAAATTCTTTACCCATCTGTTTCATGATGTCAGTTCCAGATTCCTACTTTGGAAAAGTTTGTGTATTTGGTCCCTTCTGCTTTTGCAATTGATATGCTAGTTCACTGGTGACTTCCACTAATATCACAACGTTTAAACTTGCAGGGTATCCATGCTGTAAATCTTGGGGATAGTGGCTTCGTAGTAGTCCGAGATGGCCGCACTGTTCTCAGGTCACCCTCACAGCAGCATGATTTCAATTTTACTTATCAGCTTGAGAGTGGAGGTGGCAGTGATCTTCCTAGTTCCGCACAAGTGAGTAAATCACATCCCTTTTGCTTTGAATATTTTGTATAGAATTTCTGATAACACAGATGAATTCAGATGCCTATCTTCAAACTAATATGATATAACAGTTGTGCTTCATATTTGATTTATTTTAGGTATTTCACTTTCCGGTTGCCCCGGGTGATGTTATTGTTGCTGGCACGGATGGACTTTTTGACAATTTATACAACAATGAGATAAGTGGTGTTATTGTTGAAGCTCTCAGGGTTGGACTTGAGCCTCAGATTGCAGCACAAAAAATTGCTGCCCTGGCTCGACAAAGAGCTACAGACAAAAATAGGCAGTCACCATTTGCATCAGCTGCTCAAGAAGCTGGGTACCGGTACTACGGTGGGAAGCTTGATGACATAACAGTTGTGGTGTCGTATGTGAAAAGTGCCTGAGCCCTATGATTCGAGTCTTTCTTTTATTAGAATGTACATAAATCTTTGCCCTGAACTTAATGGCGCATGTATGCCGGGGCATAGAAGCGTATTCTCAAGGTGTGAAATCCCCTGATCCTAGAAGCACTTGTGCTGCGTTTGGTATGGTTGTGCTTTAGCCCTGGAAATATGTCAGCAAACCATGACGCCATTTTACTTGTTTGCCACTGTGAGAAATCCCTTTTTTATAACTCTCTGAAACCAGGGCGTCGTTTCCCTGGAACCAAATTTTGTTGTAAACAGTGTCGATTGTCGAATGATAGTTATAGACATATTGGACTAAATGGTGAATCGGTGATGCTGTTTGAAGGGCTTCTCTTGGTCTCAGGGTCTTTTTTCTCCAGCTGTGAGCTTTGGAAATTGTTGAGTTGTGTGCTGTAAAAAAAAACCCTATTGTTTGGTTGAAATAACTATAAAACCTATCCCTCTTCTATATACTTAAAATAGTTGTGAAACATTACTCTATTTTCATCCATTTAGAATAGCAGGAAACCAAAATAGGCTTCAAAGTGTTGTGAAAATTATACTATGCAAAAGTAGCTTTGTTGGTGTTCTGTTTTTTTGGCAGCAGATATGCAAAAGCAGCTTGGTTGGCCGAATCCTTGAGCAATTTGGTGGTGGTGCTTTGCTTCATGATCTGGAGAGTTGGCGGCTCTTTGGCAGCAGAAACACTTTTCAGAAGAACACAACCGTAGTTGTGCGAAAGTGAAAAAAAAAATCAAAATACCTCTCTTAATAGTCTAGGTTGTCCGGAACAGAAAATCCGAGGGAACAGAATGTGCTTTAAAGTGTATATTCTGGCTCTGTTTGGTAGGACTTATTGCTACTGCGGTTGATTTGTAGGCTGATTTGTTGTAAGAGAAAAATATTATTACATAACTGAAAAAGTAGAACTGATTCTGGCTTATAAGTTCAAGCGAACAGAGCCTCTAACTGTGAAGTTTTCTTTGTGCCGTTGTTGTGTATTACACCGGCAACAAACGAGGTAAGTGCAAGCCTCTCTTTCCTCTCTCATACGTTGCAAATGTATGTTTCACATGTTTCAGACGTTCCAAGGTATGTTGTAATTGTTTCATGGATGTTAAAAAATAGATCGGGAGATGTTGCACATGTTGCATATGTTATAAGTGTTTCATAGGCACATTGCAAGCATTTGTTCGAAATGTTTCATCTATTTCAGATGCATGTTGCAAGTGTGTTTATCTGGATGTTTGCGTATGTTTAAGTGGTTATACACATCTATTGGAAGCGTTTATTCAAAATGTTTCATCTGTTTTAGACGTATGTTGCAAGTGTTATCTGGATGTTGCATAATGCAAATACGCATATGTTGCAAGCGTATATTGCAAATGTTTCGCCTGTTTTCAGACGTATGTTGCAGAAGTGCTTCATGTCGCAACATTATCACCAGTCGGTTCCCGCGGATGCAGGCCCTCCTGCACGCGCGAAGCGAAGTAGGCATGTGTGATCCCCACCTACATGCGCAGGAGCAGGCACAGGACGCACAGCGGCATGCGGGGGCGGGTGTGCAGGTACAGCCGTGCAGTTGCATGTGGGGTAGACGCATGCGGGGCAAGTGCATTCGGTGCAGGCGCAGCATGCAGGGTGGGCGCAGCAGGCGGGGGAGGCGCGGCTATCCAGAGCAGCGTGGGTAGGTGTGCGGTCCATGCCTAATCGGACGTCCATGCGCTAGCACGTCCGACAATCAACGATAATTAAGATCACAATCACTCAACCAACTGGTAGATCGATATATCACCGGAAAGGATCTGTTTGGCTTTGCCCTGATCTATGTGCTGCTAGTCCTCGTAAGTCATACCTGAACAATTCCTACCTGAATGATTAATACTCTAACTGTCACAAGAGACTGTAAATATAAGATTAATACTCCTCGAATCTATGTCCCTCCTCAAAAACAAGTCAAATTAGCTTACCCAACTAGTTGTACTATAAATATATATTTATTACGTAATTAAATGACACTTATTTTGTATCATAAACGTCGGGAGTTTTTTATATAACTTTGAACAAATCTCAAATTGTTTTGACTCCCGGACGGATGGATTATATACATATATACGGGCAAGGTCAATTTACACCGTTTCTTCTATTTTTTTAAAAAAAGAATGGTGACTTCTTAGGCTGAGGCATGGCTGGGCCACATGCATATGTTTCAACTATATGGCCAAGTATTCGGCTTACTGAAATTAACAAGTTGAGGTCAAGCTTTGTTGAGCTTATTTGTTGGGGACCAATATTATGGTACCCAAAGAGAAGGAGCTAATAACCATCAACATTGATTCATTCGAGTAGTCAAGAGCACGACTACGGCTCCAACCTGACCCCTAGGCACGCAAGCTCCGCCTCGCCCAACCTCTGAGGGCTGGTGTGGCAGAACCATCTAATCTAATGCCTTTGGAGTGCTCGTCTTCCATTAGGCACTAAGCACCCAAAGGAGAACACTAAATTACTCGGTTCCATCGGGCACACCCCAAGTAAGAACCCGAAAATCCACATTTTTCCATCAGGATCACAAATGAGAGAATAAAGCTTACATCATTCTTAATCATTTATTATATCACTTTTAATACAACATCAGAGTATAATATTTATTATTATAACAACGGAATGTAATCATATTATCAGAGTTATGAATAATTTAATGTAACAGCGGAATATAAACATGTGATCAGAATTACAGCGGAAATAAATAGATATTCATGGCATGATGAAGTATTGATATATAAGCTATGACAATAGATTATAAAGCTTTTATTTATAAAAATATTTGGTGAGAGTTATAAATAAACACTACGATCGCTGCGTAAAGAAAATCCTCTCTGAGCTCACCAGGAGGAATCCACACACAAGAGTCAGCTCAAGCATTCACCTGTCACCTGCAACAGAGGGAATAAAACCCTGAGTACTCAATTGTACTCAGCAAGATTTACCTGACAGGAGGAAAGAAAAGACTCCAAGGATATGCAAGGCTATCTGCCTTGTGGGTTTATTAAATCTGCAGGAGCATTACTAAAAGTGCGTCCTTATATTCAATTTTTATTAATAGCCGCATTGGTTCATTAACTAACCCTTCTAGGTAAGCACCTGTGCTACTTTCAAGCAGATGGTAAGCCATCAGATTTCCTTTTTCCATCTTTTATCTTCCAGTTCTTACTACGGTGCTAGAGTTAAGACAAGTCGTACCGGAACGCCGATGATTCGTGAATCAATGCCCCCAGCTGGGTACCCCGAAAACACACGCCTGCTTGTACCCAAAGCACAAGCAGGACCAACCCATCACCCTCCTGTCTTGGGTGTCTAGGTCCCCATCCAAACTGAGACTCCAAACCCCCGCCCTTGAGTCTCGGACTCAGTGTGGTGCAAGGACCTCCTAACAAAAAAACCACCAAGACAGTATGAAAGCTCTAGTTTGGTTTTGGTGAATTGATGAAACCTTAAGTGCTAACCTAGTTTATCAAGTGATCATGAGATAGGTAGCACATTCCAAGTGGTGAAGCAAATGAAGATCATGACATGATGATGGTGATGCCATGGTGATGATCAAGTGCTTGGACTTGAAAAGAAGAAAGAAAAAAATAAAAGGCTCAAGGCAAAGGTATAAGTGGTAGGAGCCATTTTGTTTTGGTGATCAAGACACTTAGCGAGTGTGATCACATTTAGGTTTGATAGCCGTACTATTAAGAGGAGTGAAACTCATAGTGAAATACGGTTATCAAAGTGCCACTAGATGCTCTAACTCATTGCATATGCATTTAGGATCTAGTGGAGTGCTAACACCCTTGAAAATGTTTATGAAAATATGCTAACACATGTGCACAAGGTGATACACTTGGTGGTTGGCACATTTGAGCAAGGGTGAAGAAGATAGAGTTGAAAAAGAGTTAGTCGCGCTGGTCATAGAGTGATCGGACGCTTCCGGTATGGTGACCGGACACGTCCGGTATTAACGACGAACTCAGCGACCGGACGTGTTCGGTCGCCACACCGGACGCGTCCGGTGTGAATCAGCTAAGTCGTTGTTCGGTGAAACAGTTGATCGGATCGCTGGTAGCGTCCGTCCGAAGTGACCGGACGCGTCCGGTCGACCGTGGGTGCTTACTAGACTTGACCGACCGGGCTGAGGCTCAGCGTCCGGTCAATTTCTAACAGACGTGTCCGATCGGCCTCAGGTACTCTCTAGACTCGGCCAGACACTGTGGCTCAGCGTCCTGTCATTTCTATTTCAGCGTCCGGTCTGAGTGTCCGGTCGCATGTAACTATGGGCAGCAATGGCTACTTTGGTTTGAACTGGACACATGGTGGTCTGGGAGCGACCGGACGCGCGTCGGTCGACCTACCGGACGCGTTCGATATTCACGAACAGTGCGTCCGGTGCACTTGAGCAGCGCGTCCGGTCGATGCGCAGTCAGCCCAATAATTGAGCCAATGGCTCTATTTTATGGGGGCTTCTATTTAAGCCCTATGACCGGCTCAAGCTCACTCCCTTAGCCATTTACATTGACATATCAACCTTGTGAGCTTAGCCAAAGCCCTCCCACTCATCTCCATCATTGATTCATCATCTTTGTGAGATTGGGAGAGAATCCAAGTGCATTGCTTGAGTTATTGCATCTAGTGGCACTCGGTATTCGTGTTTCACTGTAGGATTCACTTGTTTCTCTTGGTGGTTGCCGCCACCTAGATGGCTTGTAGCAGCGAGGATCGTTGAGCGGAGGTTGGTGATTATCTCCGGCTCCGGTCGTGGTGATTGTGAGGGGTCTTGTGCCTTCCCCGGCGGAGCACCGAAAGGTAACTCTAGTGAATTGCTCGTGTCATTGAGTTACCTCACTTGTGGGTAGGTTCTTGCAGTGTCCAATTGTGTGGACGAGGTTCCTGCAACACCTCTTAGCCACCGAACCACCAAGTGTTGGTCGACACAACGGGGACTAGCGTGCCGACAA